CAGTTTAATAAAATTATGAATTAACATCACAGATGTTAAGCCAATTGATGTACATATTAATACAGTCGTAATTGGATTAACTTGACTGTGTTTTTTTGGTATAACAGGACAGCAATAATAGCAGTGTAGATCCAATGCAGGCTTCATTGGAYGAAATTAGAAAAGAATTTAAGATTTATAATCGAGAGAAGTAAGTTGGCTAATTTTTTCATATCTCACTGGACCTCTTCCTGGCAAATATACACAGTAACACTTTGTTTYTCTTTGCCAGTAAACATTTATGYGAGGTACAAAARGCCAGTCAAGAAAATTTGAATGGACCTCCAGTAGAAGAAACCTTACCAAAAAGTCTTGAAAGTGAGAAAGTGGAGATAAAAGAGGATGGTAACAAAGCTACAGAAAATAACAGCACAGTAAATACAACAGAAGGTGGTATAGTCACTAAGGAATCATAAATAATGTACTACAACAAGAGGGATATTACAGGAATTTATAAGACATATAAGTCATGGATTTGTACGTTACCATGACGCACACTATGCATTAAAAATCAAAAATCCTTTGCGATTCATTCACCAATTAAAAAACATGATTCCTTTTTTGGCCTTAGAGATTATTTATTTGCAGCTTTCTTGTATTACATTTAATTGACTAAAAACAAAGGAAGACATGATGCGCTATAGGCCATGCATTTTTATCCAAAATCGGTCGTTTTTGGCCATTTTGGTGGGCCTTAGAGATTATTTATTTGCAGCTTTCTTGTATTACATTTAATTGACTAAAAACAGAGGAAGACATGAGGCTACATGCTACGTGGAAATGATACGTGGAAAGAGAAATCCACTTCACTGGTTTTTATGTGAAGATTTTTTCATTATGAAGATATTTACAGRAAAAGGAAGTTTTTATTCAATCTCAGAATTTCAGYCATGATTTGTGATGAGTGCCTTTTGCACAAAATATTGTTTTCTCTTCCTTTTGTCAGGCAAGCAAGGAAACTGATACAAAATGATGTGCCATYAAAATGTGMCATCGAAACTTTGTAGAAACCACTTTTTTAGTTTTCTTTCTGTTTCTTTGTGATTTACAGCAAATGTAGCAAATTGTATTTGACCTATACWGTAACAAATAGCTTTTTTGAGGCCATGTATATAGAATTTTGTAAATAGTATATAGTTGCAAAATAATTATTGTGAGTTATATTAATTCATGTAAGAGAAAAACGTTCTATCATTTCTAGCCAAGTATAGTGTTCACTTGTCATGTTGATTCAGCAAATCTGATTGATGCAACATGACAATAGCTTGGTGAATTACATTTAGATCGACGGTAATCTCCTTCATGGCTTCATGCCATCTTGGAAGGTAGCCATGGGAAATAATTATCTATTCATTGCACAATCAGTGGATCGCTTTGATGCGAAGGCACAGCACCTTTCAAGATGGTACATGTATTACGTTACTGTCCAGACAATCAGAATATATATAGTAGTTGTGAACTTGTTCAAAGAAAAGACAGCAACTATGTGTAGTGAGCTAAAAAATAGTCAAAACAGACTTGGTAAAATGTTTTACATCATAGCTGAAAGCATTTACAATCATGATTGCTACAGTTKAATCTCATTAATTTATAATAAATTACAAGCAGACAAAGTAAATACTATTATGATTACAAAGTCTACAAAGTGTTTATTGTTTATAAAAGTCTTGGTGCCCATCTATACAWTATTCTGTTAGTTTTTTAATTCAAAATTTAATGAAGATGGAGCCATAACAATTCAAGAAATTACGCAATGTTCACTTGTTGACAAACTATATGGATTGAATTATTCCAGATTTTGAACATTACAATATTAATATAAGTCTTAATATAATTTTTCCAGTTTTTATACTGCTTCCAAAGTGTGCAAGTAAGGCATGTTTTGTGGTTAGTTATCAGGATGTGATCTTAGCTTACAATGCTATGATTAATATTAGTCTTTTTCACATCTTAAAGTCCAGTGCATTGAAATGATTTGGCAAGTGAGCATACAACGATTGATACCTATACACAAGTACCTTGTAAGCTCACCAGAAGCCTAGTTTTAATGAAAATGCAGTTACCAAAAGGAGGGGTCAATGTAAATGAGACTAGTATCAATAGCTGGGAGACCTTTTTTATCAGCTGGCATAAACGACCTAATATAGTATTTTCTCAGTGGTGGAATYATTATTGATACACTGCTACATTAAAGTTTAATTCAGTTTGTAAGTGTTCATATTAGAGTTTGACCAGTCCAGAGTGAACGCACTTTAATTCTTTTTGTGCAATTTAGAATATGATGTCCATAAAGAACAATAGTGATTCAAAAAGGATTTTCAACTACAGTTTTGTACAATTATGGATTAAATACACACTCAATTGTCCTTGAAATACTTCTTCTCGATGTTGTAAATTAGTCTTTGATTTGAAATAAAATCCTAGTTTGAAAATAACTTGTTGACCAGGCTTTTGTTGACAGTGTCCTTGCTGACTTTATAAATTCTATTAGCTACAAGTTGTACTTAAGCAGTATTTACACAAGCAATTTTTCCTTGACAAGGAAAAATTGCTCGACTAAATGGGGTAAAATGGACAATTATTCCTTGTCAAGGAAAAGCCAAGATGTTCGCAAGGAAAAATTGTCAAGATAAACTTGTTGACCATTCAGACAAAATTTGCTCGTGTAAATGGACAATAAAGGAAAATGTGTTGACCATTCACTCCAAAGCAATTTTTCCTTGTCAAGGAAAAAATGCTCGTGTAAATGGCGCTTTATTCAAGAATGAAAACACAACAGACACTTTTTTGATATTTATTTTTGTGTGAAGCTATTTACAGTGCTTTTTGGAACATTAAAAACCACCAGAGTGAAGGTTTAGTTATATTGAAAGTATTAAAATATCTAATGCACTACAAATATTTGGTCTTACTAGTGCTCAATTAATTGTTTCACTTTCTGGTGTTGAAAAGAAAATTTATAAATAACATCAGGAGTTGATTTACTGACTGCCTCTTTGTGAGTGAATCAAAACAGATTCATTAAAGGCCCAGTGTGCACCATTATGCTTTGGTTGCCACAAGGGCCGGGAGATGGCCAATTTTTCTAAGCACTTTAAACCCTAATATAAGAGTTTTCAACCATCTGAACTTCGTTTTTTTGTTATATTCRGATACTAGAAGTATTTTGGTGTAAATTATAACAGTAACAGAGGYGCGCAAAGCATAATGGTGCAAACTGGGCCTTTAATGCACCTAATGTTTTGTTGTTACATGTACATCATGCATGGCACAAAAAAAAAAGATAAAAATAGATAAAATACATCATCCATCAAATTCATATATCTTCTCTGTAGTTATTGCTGATTATTGCAGTACACACACTTCTAGCAAGAGTAACTTTGCAAAATGCAACAGAACAAGGTGTGATTATTCTGTCATTATGTTTTTTGTGCTTTAGATTTGAACTCTAGAAATTTAATTTCATATAATAACATTTTATAGAGTGCATGCCACATTAGTGTGAAACAATTCTTAACTAATTAGTGCCTGATAAGATTTAGTTATCAACTAAGAATTCAGTGAGGCATAAACAAAGACAATTTCCTTTTTGGAATTATGTTCATGCCCCAGTTAATTCTTAGTTGGTTGATAACTAAAGGTTATTAGTTGTTGTTGTTCACGCTTTTGTGGTTTGCACTCTATCACAAGGTATACTAATATAATATATATGTACAAAATCATGCAATTAATTCTGGAAATTTTCACACAAATGTTCCTGTTTTTTCATCTGTTATTAGAATACTGCTGCGGCATTTATTGGGGGCTGGAATGTTTTCAAGTCCATCCTACAAAGATAAAAGTCATTATTGTATTTATTTTCCTGCACGTTGGCAACATCATCTTTTGTATTAATGTCATTCAGTTTAAGGCAATCACAATGCAAGACATCATTATAATGAATTGTAAATATATATTTTTGATATATATAATTTTTTGAAGGTTTAAGATAAAAGTAATTATTACATTTTCATGGCCTGCACATTGGCAACATCATATTTTGTATTGATGTCATTATTCAGTTTAAAGCAATCACAATGCAAGACATCGACATTTTTGATATATAAAATTTTCTGAAGGTTTAAAAGGTTATTGCTTTGTACAAATAACAAGAATTTGCTTGTCAGGACAGCCAGTGCGGTTAGTTTAAGATTCATCAAAATTATTCTATGTACAGCAATGGTGGATGAACATTATGTCTTAATAGACCAACATACATTGCACTGGTGAAAATATTGACATTTTGGTGTTTAGAGACGCAACATAGAATTCTGAAAAGTGCAAAATCATGAATTAATGATTATTGATAAATTCAAAACAACTACATATTATTTTACTGGGTAAATTCAGGTACCAACTGTACTAAAATAGCACCAGAAACCCTTACACAAATCACTCATTGTGCTAGAATCGGCAATTCCTCAAACAAGCACTTGATTGACTATTTTAGAAATATAGCATACACTGAATGTAACATCCATAATGTTATCAYTTGATCTTTATTTATTATATAAGAGAAAAAATAGCTTACTGCGAATTCTTTGTAGTCCACGCATGATATCAATGATACGTTATTGTCACTGGTWGTCTTGGAACCAGTRACCATGGCAATTGARCCGTTTAGTGTTTTCTTTCCTTTGCTTGGACTGAATGTAATGAAGGAGTTCTCACCAAGAACTTGGCGTTTAGCCTTGAGTCTTGCTGAAGCCCGTTTTGGTGTCTAGTGATATAAAACACCCATTGACTCACTCATGGATGTAGTACAAACTGTACAAACAATATACTTTTGTACTTTGATTTTAGTTTAGACTAAATGGATGGAGGTGTACTCACTACTTTTGCAGCTTTTTTTGCAAGTCTTGTGACTTTACTTTGTTTCTTTGTGCTACTTCCAATTGGTGGTAAACCRGTTCTTGATGTCACTTTTGGTGATTGAACRGTTGATATTCCAAATTTGGTGGTTGATTTAGGTGTGAGGGTGTTGTCCATCTTAGAAAATAATACAACAAACAAACTTATATAACAGTCTCCATGTACAGTAAGGTACATTTACTTTATGCASTAGTCACTTGAAACCCCTGCCCTCCGCCCCCTGGGACTAGAGGGGGGTACTGAATGGGGACATGACACGTTTTTAACGTGCTTTTAACAGCAAGATTGCACTGGGGGGGTCAGGATTTTGATGAATTGTTTCCAAAGCGGTGCAAAGAGTGGGGATTTTAACACTTGTTCGAACTTTTATGAGGCTCGAAACTAGAGGTCTGCCATCTTGAGAAATACATGAAAGCAAGTTTCACTTGACTAGTGCATTACATCCATGTCTTACTAGCAACTTACTCTTTTCTGCTTAGTTGGTGTCTTTGATGGAGTTCCAATAAATCGTCTGCAAAGTGTTCAATTGAAATGTAACCATTCCTAGGTGATTTATGAACAAGAAGCAAGTTTGYGAGGCATACCTTTTAGTTGGAGTGACTGGCGCACTGCCGTACAACAGTTCTTTCTGCATAATGTCTTGGTTTCTCTTGTGCTATAAAATATATAACATATTAGGTGTATTTTCACATTGCACTTTACAATCTACAAGACTACAGTAGTAATAGAATAGTAAATCTACATGAAGAAAACACAAACTTGGATTACAAAGAGAACTAAAATGCAATGAAGCMGTCAGTATTTACCCTTTCAAGTTTAATTTGTTCTTTCTGGTTCTTGAGATTTCCCCATTGTTCTTCCATAAGTTCAAACAGTTGTTTGCCGTTGACCAGAAACTTTTGTTCATTCTCTGCTTCCCACTTTGCAACCTCTTCTTTCAGCTCCTTTTCAACCTTTAAAAAATATTGTTATATTCAACCATTTAGAAGGTCGTTTTATACATTAATATCACCAATGTTCAATGAATGATGATAATGGTACCTTTGGTAATTCTTTCTCTATCATTTTCCTTGCTCGACATTCTTTAAGTAATGCTCCCCCTCTGTTTGAAAATCTGTCAACGTTAGTCTGCTTCAGCTGTGWATRCAATAAYATATTTATGTTGTCAGGCATTTTTCTTTAGAATTTGTTTGACACCTTTAAAAAATCTTTTGGTTAGTGGAGTTACGGTAATCAAAAACATGTCTGGGTAGTGTTGTTCAAAGCTTGATTTAGTGCTAATCATTGGTCAACTCTCAAAAACTATAATAATGCTACTCTTGCTGGCTTTGAACAACCTGGCTCAGATAATAATGGTTGAAAACAATTATTATATGCATGTAACTAAAAATAATGCCCCGTTTTATGAATAAGTTGAGTTGTCAATCACGTCAAGTGGATTTGTTAAAAACATCTTGCCTTGCTTGTAGTCTGTGGATAGTATCAATGTAAYGGGACGAATTTCATGAAAGAGATGAAATGAATAAGTTACATGACTGCAAAACACCATATCATAGCTTGAATACGTATTGCCCGTTACTGAGCTTTTTCAGGACACAAAGGGATTGAGTCATATCTTATGTGCATATCAAACCAAGAATCATTAGGATGTGTTTCAACATCAATGTTAATTGCACTAACCTCGTACTCCTCCATCTTTGCAAACATGGTTGCTCGTTTCTCTACCATTTTAAACAAATGTTTGTTTTGTTCATAATAGCCTTTCATCACTTCAACTTGGTGCTCATGCATAGCAAGAAGCTCTTCTGTGTAATTTGCTGCAGAGAAAAAATCAATATCATAAATTGTACTCATAGTTTACTGACATTGACCTTTTTAATGTCCCAAACTTACTGTCATTCATTGGTGAGAATGTTTCTCTTTGTGCATCTCCATAGTAACACTTGTCCCAGAGATTTATTAATTCATACCTAAAAAGTAAAATAATAGTATTTAATATTTAAATGAAGACTGTGTCAATTAATGTTTATCTTTCTGCATCATATAGCTTCTCACCTGAGTCCATCAATAAACTTCTGCATGTGTTGAAGTTTWAGTACCTGAAGCCTTTGTTTCTCCTCTTTGAACTGAAAAGAAAAACAAGAATTRCCATCCAATTAATACAACTATTAGCCAAAAAGAAGATGCCTTACTTCATGACAATAAAATAATTATTAAAAACTTACAGCAGCAATCGTTGATGGCTTGAATCCATGCCARCGAGCAAGGAAAGGCTTGGTTTCATTCACAGATATTTCCAACTTTGTCCAGAGAGACTGGACATCATCATGTAGCCGTTTTGCAGTGTCAATGTTTATGTTTTTTTGATSTTCAAGCTATGAAACCATAATTTTTGAATTAAATCATACAATACTTACTACAAGATGAAGTTAAAAGACTGAATGAGCCCTAGTAAATTTGCTTTCTCCTCACCTCAAGCTCAAGCACCTTCAAAGTATCCATGTTACCAGCTGACAATACAACAGTATTCTCAGAATTACTGGCTGCCAGCTCCCTTTCAAGTGATGTCTCTGGTGCATCTTCTAGTTCTTTCCATAATTCCATAATTGTAGACTTGAGCTTCTTAAATTGCTCTGATCGCTTGGCCTGAATGATAATAATTCATGTCATTTAGTGGCATACTAACTCACGCTGTTATCCACAATGTATCCAATAGACRTTCTCACCAGTTCTTTTTGAAAATAATCAATGTTTGCCTCGAGTTCCCTTAGTTGTTCTTTGTTYGGTACAATRATTTCCTGGCCAAAGTTGTGTATTGGCAGACAAAGTCTCTTGGACAGTTCATTTTCCTGGTCACGGAGTGCCTTCAAGGCTTTGGTCCTTTCATGTTTTTCCTGTGAGAATTATTGAACAGTTGAGAGCCACAGCTTGCAGTCAATAAGGGAAACATATACTGTATACATTCCACAGTTTAGAACCACAATTGTCACACTTACTAGTTTGAACTCATCAACTTTCAGGCGCAGATCGTTTTCTAGTTTAAGAATGGAGATGCCCTCTTGAAACTGACAAGAAAGTCAACCAGAACAACATTTTATTAGTACCCATGAATCAAAAATTGAATAGAGGCTTAATTCCCCCCTGTCAGGGCACCCAAACAAACTTGTGGGGGCTTCAAAATAACCAACTTTAGACCTATACACCCCAAAACGTGTGTTGTTATTAAACATATTTTGGACTAGGATATAGACAACTAGACCATTTCTCAGGACCACTAGAGCGTCAACCTAGCCAATATCCCAAATGATTTTCAATTTCTTACCGTTGGGCATTCGACATCCAATTCTTTTGACAATCTTTTCAGATCTTCAGTGCATGTTTTTACATTTTCTAGCAAAGTTCTCTTCAAATCTTCTTCTTCAACGACCATCTCTTGCAATAGGGTTTGAAGATGCTTCAAAACCACTTGAGTTCTTTCTTCTTTCTGCTCCTCTGAAATACCAATCTCATCCCATATAKTTTGWARGTTTGCCATGGAGCTTTCTAGGCACATRACGAGCTCGGTTTTAATCATTTGCACGCTGGTTTCTTTGGAAGACGCGAAGGATTCTTCGATAGTGGCGAGAGGTCTGGATTTGTGTTAAAAAAAAACATACAAAATAATCTTATAACTTAAACAAATGGAGACTTTGTCTCTCAAACTTAAATGTAGCTCTCTAGATTCAAGTAAATAGCGAATAGTAGTTAAGTTTATTTTAGATAAAAATTCCAAGTTAGAACAAACGTTTCCTTTGATCAACAGTTCAACAAGAAAGAGTAACAGCACTCCTTTCTTTGCTATAATTATTATTACTACGTGAAAAAACGTATTTTTAATTAAAATAAGTAAAAGAAACTTACGCTTTCAGGTCCATTTTCATTTAAATCAGCTAGAAAGTCATAGAACAGATAAAAATATTTCCACCCAACTTCTCCAACTCAATCGACTTTTGAAAAGCCCGCACAACGGTTACAAGTCACATGATAATTCTCTATGGTCTGATTGGTTACAAAAACAAGAAGCAAATCCAATACTTACAGGGGAGGGGCAAAATATTTCTTACTAGTTCTTGTCAGCGGTTTCTCTTCGTAGTGCCAGTCTTCCGTCACAAAAAAAAAGCAAAATGGCGGACCATACACGTGCAAAATTGTTTTTGTAAATATTCTCTAATACGTTGTCTGAAACAGCATTTTGTTCGAGTTTCAAAGATGGGAAAGATAAAGAAATCTATAATCTCCGCGCAGAGAGCGTCAAAGAAAGCGCAACGTCAAGAAAGCGTCGCGAATAATCCATTTGAAGTTCGGGTGAACAAGAAGAAGTATGAGATTCTTGGTCGAAAAATGAAACATGAACGAGGCTTGCCTGGCGTTTCTCGGTCAAAAGCTTTGAAGAAGGTAACTTTGTTGCTTATGGATTATTGAAAAATCTTCTTTTCGTGCCCCTGAAGACTGTAAACGTTTTCAGAATGTGTATTCCAAGCTAGTCCATTTTCATGCATTTTTGTCTACAGAGAGAAAACACTTTACTTGTCGAATACAAACAGAAAAATAAGGTACGTCGGAAATCATGAACGCTGCTCACGATCAGAGCAAAGTCGTTTGATAAAATTGATTTATATTTGTGTTGTTGCATTGGGTGTAGTTATAATGTGTTGTTGCATTGGGTGTAGTTATAATATTTCATGTTTGCTTTTGATGTAGGCAAATGTATTTGTGGACAAGAGATTTGGTGAGAATGATAGTGAAATGACCCTAGAGGACAAACTCTTGAAGAGATTTGCAATAGAAAAACAGGTACGTCATAATTCTAAGATGTTTCCCCCCCTGTCCAATCTGAGAGATGATACATCAGTACAAAAATTTTAATGTTTCACAGCTGTGTTTGTTTTGAAAAATATTGTGTTATACATGTATAGTTTGAATACATATATTACTTTTAGGCAGAATACTTTCACATTATTTCATCATTTGATTTTACTGTAGTTTTATAGTTTGCATTGCATCATCAATTGTTGTTTAATAGAAACACCATGAGAAGACTGGTATTTACAACCTTGAAGAGGAAGAACTCACTCATCTTGGGCAGTCTCTAGGAGACATTGACAAATTTGATGATGTTAGACTTAGTGATGTTGAAGAGGATGAAAACGACGACATGGCGGAGTCTCATTTTGGAGGCTTTTTAAAGAAGAAAAAGAAATCAGACAGCGATGAACATGAAGATGCAAAGCCAAAAACAAGAAAAGAAATCATGGAGGAAGTTGTTGCAAAAGCAAAAATTAAAAAACATGAAAGACAAAAAGCCAAGGAAGAGAGTACAACCATGACAGATTTACTGGATCAAGACTGGAATGATATCAGAAACTCRATGTCATTTAGAGATCCTAAAACCAAGCAAGATGATAGCAAAGTAGATGACTATGACATAACCGTGAAAGAACTAGCATATGAAGTCAAAGGAAAAGCTACCAACAGACTGAAAACAGAAGCCGAACTTGCTAAAGAAGAACAAGAGAAACTAAGGAAACTAGAGGTATGAAATATTCATCTTTTCTTATCATGTATTTTTCTTTTTGTTATATCATTTTATCACAATATAATATATTATTAATATATTATATTTGTAAACTAGGAAGAAAGAATGCGAAGAATGAAGGGAATTGTCGTCAGTAGTAAACCAGTACATGTGTCAGCAGATGACTTGGGAGACAGGTACAACACAATTATCATTGGTGTACATGTAACACATAGCTCTCAAACACCTTATTCTTAATGTATGTGCTACCAGTCTTTAAGGTGAAAGTGCACAAACATCAAATTCACTTATTATTAATATACAATATGTTTTCTAGCTTTACTCTCCCCGAAGACACAAGGACAATGCTTAGTTATGATGATGGCAAAGTCAACCTTGCTGATGGAGAGGAGACACTTGATTATGAGTGGTTAAACAATAATAATAAAGTACAAGAGGCAGACTCAGAGGGTAGTGGACAAGAGAGCGATGAAGAGGATGATGATAGTGATGAAGAGGATGGTCACAGCAGTGGTGAAGATAGTGTTGATGATGATGATGATGATAGTGGTGATGATCTTGATTCTAATGATGGTAAGATATCAGATTAATCTTCTTTGTTTCCTACCAGTCTTCAAAGTGGAACAAAAATCTTATTCCCTCCCTGAGGAACTTTTTTTCCCTTACATCTGCTGCTTCCCTATCCCCTGTAAAAATCAAATACTATTAGTTACTGTCAAGTGAACTTGTCAATCATACCACTCAGGAAGTGAATACGAAATACAAGAAACAATCATGAAAAGCTTGAAAGAAAAGAAGCCTTCAAAAGATACAGGCAAACAGGTACTTTATACGCCATCACAATGCACTAAACAGTAGAAAACAATGCCTCATAGTACATTAATTTATGAATGATTATAATAAAAATTAAAGCTCATTTATCATGCTTCAAATCCACAGAAGATGAAATTGACAGACAAGACAAAAGCATCCAATGAGCTTCCATTTACTTTCCTTGGTAAGATTAGTATATGGCTGAATAGATAAATGAATGGATGGGAGAATGATTGAATGAATAGATGAGTATTCACAGTTTTTCAAGGCATGTGAAAWTTGCATGGATATCTAGTAAAGGAACAAAGAATGATGCATTTTGATTCATGATCAAATATTTTATACTTTCAGCTCCTCAGTCATATGAAGACTTCAACAAACTGATTGMAAACTGGTAAGGATTAAAGATAGTTAGCATACAGTTTACAAATGAACCAATCTTTGCCTCAATTGGGATCTTATTATTATGTCTCTTTTATTGCTACCAGGCCTGAGAAAGACCATATCACTATTATTGAAAGAATCAAGGCTTGTAATCATCCGAAAATAAACCCCGAGAACAAGTCAAAGATGGAGGTATCCTCATGGTGTAACTACTGTAACAATGAAACATTACATTTATAAATTAATGTATGTTCTCTATTTTCAGACATTTTTAGCAATTCTTCTTCAGTACGTGGGGGAATTAACAGAACAAGAACTTCCATCTCTCAAAACAGTGGACAAACTGACAAGGTACTAGATAGTTTTTGTCATTGTGATTCTGTTGTGTAGATATTGGCTAATATTGTGTTGTTTTTACTGTATTCAAGGTTATTGTTTGACATGTCTCAGTTCTCTCCTATACATACATGTCAATGTATGCAGAGTATTATCAAGAAAGAGCATGGTGAATATGCAGAAAGGCAGCAACAAAGAGGTTTTCTACAGGATTTTTCCTTTTTTTGCTTTCATTTATTCCTTTAATTCTCATCAATGTGTTTAYAAATCTTTTCCTTCCAATTCCCATCTATCCCTTCCTTCTCTCATTTTGTTGCCTCCTACTCACCTATCCACAATTCCCTTTCTTTCCTTTCCCATTTTGTTTTCTCYATTTTGCTTCCTGCTCATGTCATATCTTATCTTTCTATCCAGGTGGTGGGTCCAAATTTCCAGGACTAAAAACAGTAAGAATGATTATTATTCACATGTGAATGTATAACACTTTTATTACAGTCAACAATTAATGTTTTTTTTTTCATCAGATAGTATATCTTAGACTGGCATCTGTGTTTTTCCCAACATCTGACTTGAAACATTGTGTGTGTACTTCRGCTATGGTTTTTATGTCACAAATWTTAGCACAGGTCAGTGAAAACTTTAATTGCTTATCAGAATGATGGCTTAAATGATGCAAGAAATGGTGTAAGAACTAGTTGTGTGAAGTGCAGAGGTAGTGCGTTATAGATCATATGTTACTAGCCTGAAAGAATGACTGGTCAGCTTCTCCTGACATCACAACATTGTAAATCATAGTATKTATGCATAATATCATTTTTATCTTTTCATTCAGACACAAGTACATACAGTATCAGATGTTTTAAAGGGTCTTTTCATTTGCAATCTTTACCTTGAGGTAAAAACGTTGAGAATTTTTTTTTAGAATCTGGTTTTAGTTGGCTTTGTTTTATAGTTATTTTGTTCTTTCATTTGTAATTATCTTTATTTCATGCYATGTTCTTTTCCTTTCTAAGTCTGAATTCTCAAAGTTTTTCTTCCTTACATTTATAATTTTTCAGTATGTGTCTTTCTCTAAACGATTTGTTCCTGAAGTTATCAATTTTCTTTGTGGAGTACTTTATCTTGCATCAGAAAACACTGCTCTTGCACTCCATGTTATTACTCCATTTAAAAGAAMTGGAAAATCTTCAGAATTACTCAGAATTTCAGAAGAAGCAAGGTACTTTTCTGCATTCATGAGCTAATTTTATTGAAATTTTAATTTGTATGATTGTATACTAATCATTGTCTAACCATCCTCAGGGATGTTATTCCAAAGAAGACAAGTCTTACCAAACTCTTTTCAGATTCTGAGGAGAAGGATTTATTGCAAGCAAAGTATATAATCACAATTATTACAAATCTTTTCCTATCCTATGTTTATCTAAATCATGCTGTTGTCCTTTCCAGGGTTAATGCTGTATACATGGCTATACAGTTGGTTGATAAATATGGAAAAGTATATCAGAAATTACCAGCTTTGAAAGAAATAGTTTTACCAATCAAGGCTCATTTACAAAGGTATTGTACAGTTTGCTTTTCCTCATCTTTTAACAAATATTGTTATTATTATTATTATTACATGACACTTGATTTTCATTTATGTGTTTCATAAGGCTACCAGTACATTTCTATGCTGATAAAATTAAGGTTAGATTTGATGAAGWAATGCTCGTTGCATTTTAAATAGCTATTTAATAATTATTATACTGATTAATGTATCCCTAGGACTCAGTCTCSTCACTTATTGAGCAAATAAATGCTGTTGAAAATCAACCACGAAAACACTTGTCTTTACACACAAGAAAGCCTGAAGCTTTGAAGACATTCATGCCAAAATTCCAGGAACAGTATGTATAATTTATCATTTGATTATATGATATTATTAAGTCTTATTAGATATTATTAGATATTGCTAGATACTATACTAAAGACATTTTTAGATATTGTTTAATGTTATTAGAAATTGTTAGATATTATCTGATATTATTTACTAGTTATGTTTTAATGTTTTAATTTGTTACAGCTATGAAATTAAATCCAAGCGAACAAAACAAGGAAACAAAAAGACAAATGAAAAAGAAAAATTGAAATATAAGTTAAAACGAGAATTTAAGGTAACAAGAAATGACAACTTTCACATTAATTCAATCATGTAATTTAATCATTCTGCTTGTCTAGGGTGCTGTAAGAGAAATCCGTAAAGACAGTCAATTCTTGTCCAGACAAAAACTTCAAGAACAGCTGACAAGGTACTTGTATTAAGTTATTCTTATTTCTGGTTTAAATCCTCTTCTTGAGCMYCTGAAAGGCAGCTTTTCATCACCAGATTAACATGAATCTTATGCTGGTTATTATAATAAYCTTATCTCACAGGGATGCAGAGCGCATGCGAAAAGTCAAGGAAATTGAGCATCTATTGAGCAATGAGCAAGCAGAAGTAAACATGCTGAACCGCAAGAAAAGAAAGAAACGATAGTTCCATAAGATAAGAGTCTTAATATGTACAATTATATTTCTTGAAAATAAACAATTTATAAATGCAATTTGAGTGTTTTTGTCTCAATTAGTAGTGTTCTCTGATGCATAAGTTTGAACAGTAAAAAAAAATTGAATGACAATGGGAGTGAAAGACAAAGAGAATATTTCCTTTAAAGAGGATCTATTTAAATAGATATAATTCATAATTCTTGTTTTTTTTTCTTTTTTCTTTTTTTTTCATCATATGCTAGAAAAGATAGATAAATAATTGGTGCCTGAACTACAAAGAATTTTACTTTTAGTGTTCTGAAAAAGAACTAACAATGCCTAAGCCAAGGAGGTCAACAAAGCTATAAAATGTAAACAGATTTCTACACTGTATTTGCCAAGTCTGGACTCCCAGACACTAGACAAGGGTTTGACAAACAGAGAGCAATGACATCATGTATTGACATCATGTTATAAATTATTATTATTGTCATTATATGATTAGTATCACTATTAAAATGTTACTATCATCATTGCTATATTAGTTTTATTTTAAAATATGCTTTATAATTGTTATAACAATTTTTGTATTATACATCTGGTAAATTTTAAGAACTGTTGTCAGTAGTAGGGTGATGGCTTCTGGGATTAAATTAGTATACAAAGCTTGACAAAGCTGAAATGGAATGTACACTGTGTTTTGTTTTATAAACAAAACCTTGTATTATAACCTCACACATCAGTGATAACCAACTATCGACAGCACACCATCGAGAAGTTAAGGTATTATATTTGTATCTTTTTAGTTAACKAAAAAGTACTCCACGTCAAGTAGTTTAATACGCCTTCTGCGTGTTTTAATCTCTTGAAAAATACTTTAAACCACTAGGACTGCCTCGCCAAAAAAAAGTTTTTTTAGCGTTCAGTATATCTAATTATTAAAAGAGATGTTCTAAATCATCAAGATATTGGATTTACACAAGGAAAATGACTGCGAATGTCGTACCCAGGCATAAATTTTCAGGAAAATTTGATGCTTTGGTAAAGATGTGGTGACTTCACAGCTTGATCACACTTGTCAAATATTATTTACAAGAAAATTTGTGTTATACTTGAACCAATATATAAAACGCTTAATAACTGTGGTAATTAGCTAGATCTATTAGCTAGATAGTTCTAAGTAATAACATATTTTCTGTCATTAGTATTTTTGATATTTTATGTTTTGTTTTTCCCAATACTACTCTACTGTTTGCTTAAGGCGTTGTCGTACAACRCTGTTCTTGCATACTTGGAGTGGTTTAAAATGTTTACTTATTTAATGTAGAACTAATAAGCACACTCTTAAGACTCTACACTCAGTAGTTGCACCACAGCAACATGAAGTACTTGTTGATTCTTCTCCTGGTCATTCCTGTCTTAGAGGTAATAATCCATTGGAAACTCTTATCTGTTTGCCTGTCTGTAGTTGAGCTCCTGTTTGTATTTATTTTAAAGTCATTCAACATGTTTTCTTTTAGGCATATGGGTATGGCAGTCAGTTGGGTTAGTATAATAAACTGTTATAGTATTGAGTGAAGGGAGGTTTGATATCATTGATAAGAAAAATCACCTATAAGAAAAAAACACCACATAACGGCATTGATTTTGTACATAAAACATTTAAGTGTACATTTCAAATTTACCGATAGACTTCTTTTTGTTCATCATGCCCCCAAAGCCCCTGTGACTAGATTAARTTTTTAACGAGTCAATTACTTCATGTAGGCACATCATGCACGGCGACTGGGGATCCACACTACAAAACATTTGATGGCAGACGCTATAACTTCATGGGAGCATGTCATTACGTTCAAGTGACTGACCACTGTAAGGTTGATCATGGCAGACCCAGACTGGGTACATTTAAAGTCATTGCTTTGAATTGGATGTGTGGAAGCCATGTCAGCTGTGTTGTTTCAGTTGAGGTTGACATAAGGGGTGAGTCTTATAAATACACTTTCTTTTTTCGCATGTGAACTGAGGTTTTTTTTGTCAAAATGTGCTTAATCTTTAAGGGGATAAGATTTCTCTCAAACGAGGAACATTTGCACCAGCAAACAAGGAGACTGCGCACTACTCGGTTCRAAGAGAGGGTAACTTTGTAGTAGTACGAACCAAGCCTGCTGGTTTGACCGTGAAGTGGGACAGGAGCATGGGACTGCATATTTATCTAACATCACAATTCAAGRGGAAGGTACAATGTCATGATACAGACAAAATGTCTGCTTCAAGATGTCCTCCTCTTCCTGCTATTTCTCTTTCTTCTATCATTGTCATTTTGACTTTGACTTTTTCTTTGATTTTCCCTCTAGTTTTTTGTTCTTCTTGTTCTTGCCCTCATAGTAATGGAAATAGTACTATTTTCCATTTTCCCTCCACCAGGTTTGTGGATTGTGTGGTAACTTTGATGGTAATCAACACAAYGACTTCTTAAAAAGAAAYGGTCAAAGTGCAGGCAACAATGTGAACGACTTTGCCAAATCATGGCAGGTAGCAGGTGGTAGCTGCAGTGGCCAGGTACCAGTAGCACCAACACATCCATGCGAAAAGAACCCTCATCGCCGTCAAATAGCTGAAAAAGACTGTGCTGTTATCCTTTCCAACCAYTTTAAATTCTGCAAAGATGCTGGTGTAGATGTGGACTATCTTTACCGTAACTGYCTGTAYGATGTGTGTGCAGAGAAAACAGTTAGTATGAAGGACAGCAGCTGTGATGCTATCAAAGAGGCGTCATACGAATGCAAAGAAAAGACTGGSAAGACCGTGACCTGGGGACACCTTGAACAAAAGTGCAGTAAGTGAAGATAATGCTTTTGTCTGTACTAARTCCGTCTGTCCATCAGTATTTTATAAAACACTTTAGTGAGATTATCTGTCTTGGTTGCTGATGTTTTATTCATCATTATTATCGTTGTTATTCTCAGAGTGCCAGCGAGAGCTCCAGATGTATGACTCATATCAGCAACTAGTTACCAAGTGCTGTGTTTTCCCCTTTGTGAAAGATGGAGTCACACATTACGACTGTGTCAAATCGCCACAAGGTTCTTGGTGTTCAAGTGAGAAAGTTGCTACTGCTAGCTCTATTGGATATTGCATTGATAGCAATAGTCAGTACTGATGGTAAGTTCATAGAATTATAAGTAGTTATTCTGGTACTTTTGGTCGTAGTATATGATGTATAGTTACCAAGCTAATAGACACTCTTAAGCCCAAAACCCATAAAATGACTTTCTTTCTAGGAAACCTAAGATGTTTCACTTGGACTTTGTGACGTCATCACTCATGACGCATACTGTGACGTACTGTGATCTTGGACTTTTTGACGTCATCACTCATGACGTATACTTTGACGTACCTGCGATCTTGGACTTTGTGACGTCGTCACTCATGACGTAGCATATAGCTTTGCTTTTATCTTTTTCAACAATGTATTTCTAGTTAGGTATAGGAATAAAGGTAGTTTTGCTGTTTAAATGTTTTATATGCTTGCCAAATTAAATTAGCCGCCGTACCGTTTTCCTTGGAGAGATAATGTAGTCATCAAATCAGATTTGACGACGGAAATGAACCATGGGTAGGTAAGGAAGTATTAATTTTTACTCAATTATAGTCAGAAACACTGCTGTTTYTGATATACATCAATGTAACCATGGTTGCTTTGTGTTGTGTGATCTCAATTCAACATTTGCTATTTATCAATAGCTGCGCGTAACGTAGTACTCTTTGAAATTGATAAATTGAATTGATAAATCATTGCATCATTGTACATTTGCTCTGTCTATTTAACGATCGCTATTGTTGTCATCAGCATTAATATTCACCTTCCAACTCCTTTTTAAAAACTGCTTTTGTTTAYAACTATTAGCCTTYTTAATTAAGCTATACATTGAGAACAAACGGCCATAAACCTTGTTTGGATTCCAAGAAGAGTCTAGAACAAACACCCAGGTATTGAATATCATAATTAACATATTATTAATTTATCATTATCGATATATTATCACTATTAACTGTTCTTTTTATCATCATTATCATACGGAGTACAAAATGTTTTATCGTCAGTTAGAAGTATTATAACGATGTCTGCTTTCCTGTATGCTAAATAACGCTTTGATTGCTTTAAGGATCGAGTAAATCTCCCACGCGATAAGATGCATCAATACCGCGCAGCTACCTTGGAATGTACACATTACATTAAAGGGCATAGAGAAAGCCTTCATAACATGACACGAGTACTCACTGTCGACCTTGCAGCATCTACAAGGTGAGTGGAGTAGGTTTAGGGTTTTTAGTGGAGAAAACTACTTTTTAAWGGTAAATTGARTCGCGGTATAAATATTTCTGATGTCTATTTCGATYTTGATTTCTCGTCTTGGTTTTAAATTGTTAAATTTTCAATGAACTTTTCGGGCAAACGTTTTTGAGACTARTATTGTGAGTGACTTTTGTTGGAGTCCAGGAGTGAGCAGTCGAATTTGACATGACGTCGTGATATCTCAATATTTAGTTTGATTGAATATTTCTATCTAGATATATAATTGAGCTAGTACTTACATGGGGCTAATAAGGATTTTAGATAATTTCTTCAACTTAATTGTTCTGGTAAAGCTCATTTTTTATCATTACCGAYCAGGTCTTACCAACCGACCAACATTAATTGCATATTAGCATCTTTAACAATATATAGCGAACAAAGACTGGAAATTTGTATTGCGTATCCTGCGATAAATTATTTTATCTCATTTTTTTAGAAATGCATCTTTGAGTTGCTATGTAAGGACTTATGTTAAACGGCATGATTGCACGCCTGCTCAAGCTGATTTTCATACAATGGTATTCAAGCTTTTGGCATTTCGCAGCAACTACAAGTAGAATTTTTTTAACTGGCTCGATATAATTGAATTCTTTATTTGAAGGTTTAAATTTATCCGGCACAAAGTTTGCTTCTTATTGCCATGACAACCTGGAGGTAAAAAAGTGTTAAAAGTTTGACAAACAAAGACAATATAAGATGTATATACGTGAAAACAAAACAATTATCAAAAGGAAACCCATGTTTATCAAGACGCAGAATTTATATCGTTAAAACCTTCAAAGTTTTTCCTTTCTTTAATAACACTAGAGTTTAGCGTCCATCTTGAAGACAAGAGCTTTAAAGATATTCTTATATCAACAGAGGTTTAGTTGTCGTTTTGTTGATTTGCATTGTAGAGATCTAGTTGTGTCAAATTGTCATAGATGCGCAAATAAGTACTCCTAACAAGGAATTTTGGATCAGTTGTATTCTTATCGTTTAGATTTACAGCAGGAATCGGATAACAGCAAGGTTTTTGGCTTTTTCCAGAAGACTTTAATATTTACTTAGGGCGCGGTCTCTATTAAGCTGTGTTGAATTGTTTGGGCATTAATTGTGCTGGAATGTCTGAAATAAAGAACAGCAGTCTCTCTAAACTATAGCAGCTACTTGAGTTCTGACTCTCGAGTATAGAGTTATTGCTATCATAACTAAAGTAAAGCGATAACTAAAGTAAAGCGATAAAAATGGATACAACAGAATTACAATCACCCAGTACACGAACTATGACGTAAATCGATGCCAGTAAATAAAACTGCCTGCTGTTTGTCTAACCTTTATGAATGGCTTTCAATTTGTAAAGTATAGAAATTGTTTTCTTAGGAGTTAGGAAAATGGGTGGTACGAGGGCGGGGAGCAAGCTCGTCAAGAGAACTTACTTCTAGCTTGAGTCGTGTGAAGTTTGTCTTAGTTGGAGATAATTTACACGTAAGATAATTCATCGCGGTTTCTACCAACTATCTTTTTTCAAACAAAGTTTACTGAGCAGAGTAAGAGATTGGTAAACGCTCGAATATGGCTGGAACTATTAGTCAAAGACTTGTCAGCCGAAAATTGTAGTGATTTGGACAACTAAAATTGAACAAAAATGAATGACGATCATTTTATGAAAAGAATCGGTGCAAAAGTTCTCTACTGTTATGAAATCATTTCCGCGTCATGAACCCACCGAGATCTTGGCATTCAATAAACTGACTTTTTCACTTTTCCAATAGGAAAATGTTGATGCCAATTTACTAAATCAATCTAAAACAATTTCATTTTACGCCCTTTAGAGACGCTGTAGATAAAGATGAAGTTCTTGTTTATTCTTCTTCTTCTCGTCCTTCCTGCCTTCTTAGAGGTAAAGATTCATTTGTTTGCCTGTTTGCTCAGTCCTTGTGTGTCTTTCTGTCAAAGCTTGAAAGTCATGTTAACATGTTTCTAGGCAACAGGCGAGAGTGACAAACGTGGATGGTGGGGWCGAAGAAATCGTAGGCCCAAAGCTAGACCCAAACCAAGACCAAGACCTCGGTATGGATACGGCGGTCAATCTGGTGAGTATGTTAATACATAAATGAACGATTGATCGACGTTTTTATTAAGTTAATGCATTATCATAGTGACGTGCTCTGCTTCTGGCGACCCTCACTACAAGACATTTGATGGTAAAAGATACAACTTTATGGGGGAATGCCGTTATATTCACACGACCGATCACTGTAAGGTTGACTGTGGTCGACCAAGGCTTGGTACGTTCAAAGTTATCGCTGAGAATTGTAACTGTGGTAGAAGGGTCAGTTGTGTCAAGTCGGCGGAAGTCGATATTAGAGGTAGGTTTTTATATTATTTTTACTTTTTACAACCAATGCATTTACTTCACTTCGCTACTTCGCACCCAGTGGTGCATAAGGTCTTAACAACTAACTCTTTTATAAACTTCATTTTTCCAAAATTTGCAGGTGATAAGATCTATCTCAGACGAGGAACATTTGCACCAGCAAACAAGGAGACTGTGCACTACTCGGTTCGAAGAGAGGGTAACTTTGTGGTAGTAMGAACCAAGCCTGCTGGTTTGACCGTGAARTGGGACAGGAACATGGGACTGCATATTTATCTAACATCAAAATACAAGGGGAAGGTATGTATATCTTCTTCTTCTTTTTCTTGAAAAATAAACTGATTTTTTCCATGCAACAGGTTTGTGGGTTATGTGGTAACTTTGATGGTAATCAATACAACGATTTCCTAAAAAGCAATGGCAAAAGCGCAGGAAACAATGTAAACGACTTTGCCAAGTCATGGCAGGCCGGTGGTAAATGTGGCCAGGCACCAATAACACCAACTCACCCATGCCAAAAAAACCCTCATCGCCGTCAAATAGCTGAAAAAGACTGTGCTGTTATCCTTTCCAACCAYTTTAAATTCTGCAAAGAYGCTGGCGTAGATGTGGACTATCTTTACCGTAACTGTCTGTACGATGTGTGTGCAGAGAAAGCAGTTAGTATGAAGGACAGCAGCTGTGATGCTATCAAAGAGGCGTCATACGAATGCAAAGATCAGACTGGGAAGACCGTGACCTGGGGACAYCTTGAACAAAAGTGCAGT